TTTATCTTTTTTGGACAAGGTCCTAAAACGCATTATAAACGTAGTTGGACCTCCTCTATCTACCAAGCTTGAGTCTCTTTTCCATTTTTGTAAAGTTGAATCTCTTTTCAACAAATACTATTGTGGTCTCTGTTCAAAGGAGCTATCATCTCTAGTGCCATAAACTAGAACTCATTCAAATTTGACTCATCAGCAAAATCTCATTCTTTTCATATATCTGTCCCTGCATGCTTTAAAAGCTTTTATTTGTTTATTTTTTTCCCCTGCATGTTTAACCCTTTGGAAGTGTCTCCCATCTTTATTTTTTTTTTCAACCTCCTAAAACTCAACCTACAACTTTTCAAGTCTTCTGTCAACCGTTTCCTTGTTCTTTTATTTAACTCAATTCTTTTATTTTCAGCATGATATTTTTCTGTTTTATGATTCACTGCAAACAAGGCTGCAAGCAATCACTATTAAGTTATGAGTTTCTAAAGAAAAGTTATAGAGCAAGGAAACGTTTGTCAGAAAACTTGATGAGTTGAAGGTTATATGAGTCAGGAAAACATGAAGATGGGAGAGAGTTCCAATGGGTTAAAGTGCGGGGGAAAAAGCTAGACAAATGTTTTTGGAACATGAAGGAACAGATGCTCCAAAAACTCAAAAACTATAAGAATGAGACTTTGATGAATGACGAGTCAAATGATAATAAGTTTTAGTTAATGAAACTAGAGATAAAAGCTTCTTTGAGCTGCAACCATGATAGTATTTGTAGAAAAGAAAAAGAAATGCAACTTTACGATAATGGGAAAGAGGTTCAAGCTTAGCAGGTAGACCGGATTAAACTATGTTTACAATGCATTTTTGGACCTTGTCTAGAAGAGAAAGAGCATCATTAGAAGAACCAGTACAAATATGACAACAGTATTCCATCCAGGGACAAATAAGAGATTTGTAGAGGCAAAGAATGGAATCAGGAGAGAAAAAATGGCAAGCATAACAAAGAGAAACAGCCTTAGCAGATGCTAATTTGGCTATCGATTGTATATATGGTTTCCATGAAAGATCAGTAGTAAGTGATAATCCAAGAAGGCGTAAAGAAGAGGACTCAGTGAGAGGGTTGCCATTCATCAATAAAGGAATGTTGACAGTACTGCGATAGTTGTTTGCAGTAAATAACTGAGTTTTGTTAAAGTTAAAATTAATCTTTAAAACTTTACGAGATACACCATATGAAACAAGCTTATGAAGAAGACCAACATGCCAAACTTTGTCAAAAGCCATAGATATGTCAAGAGCAATAGCTTCTGTCTAATCCATGATAAAATCTTTCTGTCACAGCAGTTAGCAAGTCTGCTTTAGAGGGAGAGAATCAAAAATGGTATTGATTGTCTGATAGCAAGTTATTTGACTCAAGATGGGATGTGAGAAATTTGTTTATCGAAGACTTATAGACCTTGTTAATAACAGAAAGAAGACTGATTGGATAATAATTGGAAGGGTCAGAATATTTACCGAAGTTCCAGAAAACTGGAATGACAGATGCCATTTTCCAGCAAGCAGCAAAACAAGACTCAGTCAAGCACTTATTAAATAGTTTGTAGAAAATCGAAGACAGTTCTGGAGACATTTTGTAAGGCTGTGACAGGAATGTTGTCTGGACCACAAGCTGTAAAAGAGTTTAATCGAGATATGACTTAAGCAATGGAAGCTAGAGTGATTTGAATATCTAATAATCGGTTAATCTATTTAATTGGAATGGAAGGAAGAGAATAACAAGAGTCGAATTAAAAGAGAAGTTCTTTGCAAATAGTTCAGCCTTATTATTGGGAGAGGTAATAAGATCAGTCCCATGAATTTGAGAATGTTAGACCTTTCCTTTGTTAACAACGCTGTTTTTCCAAAAGTCTCTAGAACCTAACTTCTGAGATACAAGATTTAGTGAACTGAGATACAAGATATAAGACACAAGATTTAGTGAACTGAGAATAATGGAGCTTAGCATCTGACAGCACATTTTTACATCCATTTCTTGCAATAATAAATAGCTGTTTGTTCTCAATAAATTTGTTCCTTTGATAAAGGAACAAATTTATTGAGAAAAGATTTAAAGAGATCATTGCATGGTCAAAACTACCTAAAGGAGAAAAAGGAGAAACAGAACACAAGCTAGGATCAGAGACCAGACATAAATCAAGGAGTGAAGGTAAATGATTAGTGTTGTTAGGAAAATGAGTCACAAAATTAACTATGTGAGTAAGAGATTGAGAAATACAGAAATTATAAGCTTTAGTGCCAGCAGAGTCAGTGGCATTTTTTTTAGTTTTATTTGCTCTTGTTACAAACTTGATCAATCAAACAACGAACAATCGTTTGATTGATCGTACATTTAAAATCAATAATACTTTTTGTATTATTGATTTTAAATGTACGATCAAAATATATATATATATACATATATATATATATATATATATATATATATATATATATATATATATATATATATATATATATATATATATATATATATATATATATATATATATATATGTGTGTGTGTATATATATTTTATATATATATATATATATATACATATATATACATATATATACATATATATATTTAT